ACCGGTGGTCGAATTTTTAAATCTCCACATTTTCACAGACGTTCTTACATGTTGTGGTAGGTTTAATCCAAACCTACACTAGTGCATGTGGTCCAGTAAATACCAGAGAGCATTTGTCACAGTAAAGGGTCTGTGGAAGTCAGTGAGGAAAAACATCAGGGCAACATTAAATCTCACCAGCAGATTAACAGTGCAGCCGATCTTCTTGTTCTCTGTCTCATCTCCCTTCATACAGTCCCTACAGACAAGATGCACCAAGTTAATGAACAGCTGTATACACCATATAGAGTATGCTGTGTGTGTTAGTTACCGGTAGTCCAGCAGCCGCTCCATCAGCCTCGTGACTGAGGTGACAAAGGAAACCCCCGTCTCTCTCCATGTCTCCTGCTCAATCTTCTCCAGCAGACTTTAAATAAACAGCCTCAAATTAGATGCTATATTTAAAAACTAATGATACACTAAGACGTTACCTCCAGTGGTCTGAGGTAACAGACTGTGACCAAGAAAACCCTCTCATTTCCTTAGAAGAGATTCACACTGGGCCATGAAGTAAACTCCCCTACAGGGTGGGAATGTAACATGACGTCTCAGACGACTGAATGTGGAGACAGGCCAGTGCACAGTTAACTTGGCCTTGTGGAGGTGCAGGGTTTTTGTCAGGCAACAGAAAAGTAGTGAGGTTTAATGTCAGAGTCCAAAAACAAAACAAAGTTAACATGGGCCAGGCAGCAAAACAAACCCTTTAAATAAAGCATGAATCACATGGGGGTTTGCTCACAAGCAAAAACTGTCAACAAAATGTTCTTTTTTCATTTAGAGTTGTTGTTTTGTGAGTTTGCATCGTTACAAAGTGTGTGTCATGTGACTGGAGTTTGGTTTCAGGACATGAATGTTAACCTGTTTTCCATCAGCCAACGTGTTTCTACAGAGGTTTGAACTGTCGGTGTAGACGATCCTCTGAAGCAGCTGACATCTATAAATGCATGAACATTTTTCTTCTGAACAAATTCTCTAAGGTTTTTTAACAATGTTCACATTTTGTCAAAGACAACACTATAAACCTAAAGTTTGTATTTAACACCTGAAGGTCCGTTAATGAAAGTTTTACTGCAGGTGTTACAGACTCTCAGCACCATCGTGTTGACAACAGAACAACTCTGTCCCTAAGTGAAATGTTGGTGCCACATACTGTGTATAAATGGCGTCATACCTGGGGTAGGGCCCAAACAGCTGGGTTCTAGTCCCGCAGCACAAAGCACACGAGAACAGGGTTAGAGCAGAAACACACAGTTAGTCCGAGTTACAGAGACAGAAGAGAAGGAATCGCACTAGTGTGGCATCAGAGACGGGAGTTAGAGGCAAACAGGTGGGAACGACTTCGGACACTTACAGCAAACTGAAGAGCTCTCTGTAGTTCTCGTCACCTTTCCCCTCAGACACCAAACTGTCCAGCTTGTCGATCAGCTCAGCCTCCACCTGCAGCAAAACACAACGTCAAAAGAATCAACCAGAAGAGATCAGAGCATCTGTACACGTCTGTGAGCTCAGGCCTGCCAACCTGCTTGAAGTTTCCGTTCTTGCGTTGCTCCCAGTCCATCATGTCGTGGAAGATGGGGATCATGATGTTTCTCACCTCCACCTGAGGGACCAGCGTGACTCCCAGGAACGGGCCGATCATCCCGGGGATGAAGTGGATCTTATTCTCACCTACAGGCCACAGGTTCTCAACTCAACTTGAATCAGTCAAGCAATAAAATAATTAGCCTGTGTGTAATTTATCCACATCAGGAGCTGCTGCTCAGGAGGACGGTGATTTTCACATTTGAAAACAAAATGATGTTTTTATTTTTAGTAGAGATGGAAATGAAAGAGCAGTGAAACTAATGAGGGAAACAGTCTGTAGATAACGAGGTCAGGGTCATGTAAACTGAACCTTCACAGAGAAAATCTCACCCAGGTTCTGCCACATGCTGAACAGCTCGTAGGTCATCATCACTCTCATGTCACCGTACCTGCACAGGGACAAGCATCAGGTAAGTCCAAAGCCTAAAACTACCAAGAGTCTCTGATCACAGAGAAGAACGTTTTGGACTTTTGGTGTCACAGAGGAGACTGAGGAGCCTTCGGAGGACACAGGTATCAATACTGTTTCCTTTGAAGATAAAGAT